TATATATATATATATATATATATATATGTTAGGGTGTTCACACTATGGAGTAATTTATTATTGTACTGAACAATTGTTGGACGCATATATACCCTTGTTTTGTATATGGAGTTTTCTTTAGTAATGGAATTTTGATAATTAGGATGGGTGTGACATCATCTACATGGGGTGTGACATCACCTTTCCTAATGACAAAAAATACCCTTATTAAAAAAATGCTCCATGTACAAAACAAGGGTATAAAAGTTTCCAAAATTGTTGAGTACAATAATAAATTACTCCATAGTGTGAGCACCCTAACATAACCCATATATATATACTCACATGAGCTTCTCTGAAATAAAAAGCTGTTTATGTTTTAAGAATTTGGGAATTTCCATGGGCCATATATATATGGAAAAAGTTTATATAAGGTTGAAACCTTAAAATGTAGAATTACATTTTCATCTAAAAAATCCATCGAAAAACGTTGTTTTAATGTTGAAATACCCTCTAATTGATCATATGGACATCAAGATGTATGAATATGAAAAAAAAAAAAAAAAAGATTTTGAGTCCCAAAATAGTGCATCTTGCAACACATTATCTAGACCGTCTATTTTCAATATTTTTATATGTTTGTAGATCTACTTGATTTTAACCATTTTTGGAGTTTAAAATTTTATAATTAGATTTGAAAATAGATTTAAGATAATCCTAGTACTTCTTTTCACCAAGATTACATGTTATGATAAAATTTGGAGGTGCGCCTTAATTGGATTATTTATGGTTGCAACCTTATAGAAACCACACCATATATATAAGCTCACATGAACTCTTACATTTTCATAATTTTGCTAAAAAAAGTGTGTTCATTTGGGTATTTTGAAATGATCTATTGCTTCTTATTCATGACTAAGAAAACAGAAAGTATTGTTTATTTTCTTGAAGGTATTGATATATTGTTTCTTATTTTGCAGGTTTAATGAAAAATTTGATGGAGTAGTCTTGGCCTATCATGACTTGAAAATAAAGGATAAAATGGCCATGGTTCTTTCAGGGCTGTCTCCATATTTTGGTGTGAAATTGAAAGCAAAACTGTTACTTTTCTCCCCAAAGCCAGGAATGCTTCTAGGTAACTTTTATGATTCTTAATTTACACTATGTCGAGGTGCTTCATGTGTTTATGGGTTGAGATGCTTTCCTCTTTGGCATATCTTGCCATTGTCTGATTTTCGTGCATGGAGTTAAGTACATTTTTTTATTGGGGAAGTGCCATGCTAGGCCTGGTTTTCATTGCTTCCATCTTTGGCATATCTTTCCTCTTGCAAAAGAAATAATGATATGTACATGTTTGTAGTTTTGTTACATACGTTGAAGCAAATGAAAACTCATGAACATGATTATAAAGTAAAAAAACTTTATGGATAGTGATCAATGTTGAATTAACTTAAATGAATCTATGACATTGAATGATTCTATCTAGTTGTTTAAAACCAGAACTCTTTAGGGTCCTGAACCCGAGTCTGGAAACTTGGACTTGCCCAAGTCTATCAAGGACTCTGGCAGTTCCCATGGTTTTGGTGTCAGATTTCGTAACCTGCGAATTCAGAGTAATTTGGGCAAGTCCGAGATGGACTCCCCGAGTTTTTGATTCACTGGTGCTATCATGTGGACATGATCACTTATTGAAAATAAAAAAAAGATTTGATCTTTGATTAGAGATTAATTTGGTTTCTTTTGTGATAATTCATAGCATGAAAGCTAATGGGCTTCTCGTTTTCCTCTAGATGCTAGTGCATTATTATATCTCTTTGTTGACCAAGTAGAGCCCATTGTGCTTAGGTACCCACTTAGGTTTTGGGGGTCATGAAAAGACTTTATGGATGGATGCTTTGTTCTTTCTTTTCCATACTTTTCACAATGCTACCTCGACACTTCAAATGGGGCTGGGTGTGGCGGTCGAGAGTTGAGACATTTCGACACCTAGACACCTGCATAGACACAGCCTCGACACGGTAATTTTAAAGTACTTTTAGAGTGTTTTAAAAGTTGTACTTTGCATAAAATGCCAGCCTGGGATTGGAACCTTGGATGTGTTGCACTTGCAAAGGGATTGCAAGCGCTACCACCACGCCAAGGTAACATTTGTGCTGATATAATATAGGAAAAAAATGCCTTAATAACAATGCACCTTAATAGAAAGTTTTAATAAAATTTATAGTATAAACATAGTCATTCACTAGGAAAAAAATGAATATATATATATATATATATATATATATAAGTAAAGTAACTAAACTAACTATAGACGTAGTGTCTACTAGTACTTCCCGTCCCCTACGTACGACGGACGACGCTAGTCGTCCGTACGGTTACG